AGAATATTCTCATCATGGCGAATCGAGGCTTCGGGAAACTACGAGCAACTCGAATTCCCTCAGAGACCTCAATTCGGCCAAGACATCAGCGGCGATGACGGAACGATTGACAGTTACAAGATACAGCCATCCGCTGGAATCGATCCTTCGACACCGAGAGTCGTTGCGAAGATTTTCGAGCTCGTCGGAGCACGCGCAACAAGCGAGTTCTCTCGATCAGGCGTAATTAGGTAAGGAGGAAGAAGAAGAAGCGTGGGAAGACTTCGGACAAGTCGACTGACTACCTACATAAGAATACGTTGTATCGAGGATGATGATGGAGCTCAATCGCATCTCACTCACCTGCGTACCACAAATACGAGAACCATACCTCGGAGCGCGCCGAGAGGTCTGTGCATCTCATCCCTCAGTCGGTCCTCCGCTCGACGGGTAGAGCTCTGTCAACTGCGGGAAACCGAACAAGAAACACTACGACCGATTACTCGGCGTGAAGCCGGCTGTCCCACTGTTGATGAGGGAGCATGATGTTCAGAGGGAGATTTTACAGTCCGTATCTCACGACGTTTGTCATTCGTAATTCTGACTCGGAACGGACGAATCCAGCGGAAGACTTCGCGAAATTGTAAATGTGCTTAGACCGAGAAATGGGCGACGTCCTTCATAATGCAGGCATGATTTTAGTAAGGAGAAAGACAGACGAACATAAGAGAAAAGCGTCCTTGGAGAGTAGTCCGTACGACGAGGAAGACATCTGTAGACAAACTTTCTGTCGAGCTCACATCAATATCTGTTGTATACATATACGGATTTTAGACGGATATTCTCGTAGATTGGTGGAAGACGATGGGAATACAGCGTCGATGATGATGACTCCAGGATTCTCCTCGACGAAGGAGATCGTTGAGACGATTGAGGCGTATGACTGAGATGGAATTGTGTAAGGTTGACTTTAGAACGAATCGACCGCGAAACTATGATGCGCGTCGAGGAAAACAAAATGAGAAAGATGTCCTCCGCCACAGAGGATGATCGAAGGAACCTCATGAGTGCGAATGGATCCAACTGACATTGGTATGAATAAAAATTGCTGTATTTTATTTGCACCGTACAACTACGAACGTCTCTTGATGTGCATTCTCTCTCCGTGCGAACGCTCAGTTCCGACTGATTAGCTCTGATAGGATGTACAGAAAAATACTTCCAAACTTCACAAAGCGGTCTTTCATGACTCATGACCCCTTAACCCTGATCTCGTCCTCGGAGGCATCGTGAATCTTGAGAAGGACAATGTTCACAATACTATATATTTCACACGACTCTCCACACTTTCCGATGACTTGATCACATTCACTGGTTCGAGCCTGGGCCCATAACCTGTTAAATGACAGGGACAGAGAAAACACCGGTATGGATAGTATGGAGCTGATACGTAGGACAACGTGCTGCTCGCTAATATGTATTCTCATTTTTCACCGAAGACGACGAATCGGCGAGCGACCGGGGGCAGAGACAGCCCGAAAGGAATCGGCGGTTTTCGAGCGACCGGGGGCAGGTTCAGCCTGGAAGAGCTCGGTGGTTGGCGAGCGACCGGGGGCTGACCCGACTCGAAACAGCTCGGCTGGATTGATGGAGACAAACCCAAAGCAGGGAACGATCGAAGATCAGTCGAATTACGTACTATGGCACAAGAGATTGGGTCATCTGAGCGCTGAAGGAATGAGGAAATTGGCGAATGGCATGGTCAAGGGTGTCAATGTGAAAATTCCGAACGAAAGTCCGGTATGCGGACCATGTGCAGAAGGGAAACAACAAAGAGGGAGGTTCCCTATTTCAACTTCGATCACTACTGAAAAGCTGGAAATAGTACACAGCGATGTGTGCGGCCCCATGAGTGTTCGAAGCATCGGAGGCCATCGGTACTTCATAACATTCGTAGACGAGTTTACGAGAATGACAACGGTATGCTTTATGAAGTCGAAAGCAGAAACATTCGAAAAGCTAGTCGACTTCATACGCCATGCGGAAAGGGAGGAAGGTACACGGGTGAAGGTTCTGAGGACGGACCACGGATCGGAATACGTGAATCGGAAGGTATCAGGCTTCCTGAAGGAAAACGGCATTCGCCATCAAACAACGGTAGAATATTGCCCGGAACAGAACGGATCGACCGAAAGAGCGCAGAGAACATTAGTCGAAAAAGCGAGATCAAGGTTGTCGAATGCTGCTCTTGATCAAATGTATTGGGCGGAAGCGGTGAATACCGCATGCAAGCTCAAGAATATGAGCCCAACAGCCGCACTGAACGACAAGTGCCCGGAGGAGGCGTGGACCGGGAAGAAACCAGACCTGAGCTTTCTAAGAATCTTCGGTTGCTTAGCGTACGCCCACATACCGAAGGAGCTAAGAAAGAAATGGGATCCGAAGTCAAATCGCTACATCTTTGTAGGCTACTGTTCCTTGTCGAAGGCATATAGGTTGATCCCGATTGGTGACACCGCTCGGATCCACAAGGCACGCGACGTGATTTTCGACGAGAGCTAAATGGCATCTACAGTGAGCAGTCAATCATCCCAGAGGGAAGGACCGGTCTCCCGATGGAATTTCACCGCAGAGCCCGAACCTCCCATGTCAAGCCCGAATGGTGAGTGGTAGGACATAGAGTCGCGGATCGAGGACTCCTCGAGACGACGCCACCCCATGCGCGTTCGTGAGCCACCTGCTTGGCACCGAGATTACATCTGCATGTGTGAGCAAAGTAGCACCTCCAATTACGATGCTCCATCTACGGTGCAAGAAGCTATGGCGAGTGAAGAAGCTGAGGAGTGGAGGTCGGCCATGGAGAGCGAGATGGCTGCCCATGGAAAAAACGGAACTTGGGAACTCATCGAACGTCCGAAGGGAACAAAGGTCATCACTTATAAAAGGGGTTTTCAACGGAAAAGGAATAGTGAAGGACAGACCACAAAACTGAAAGCGAGGCTGGTAGGACGGGGCTATTGTCAAACGAAAGGAGTAAACTTCACTGATACTTATTCTCCCGTTGTGAGGATGACCACTCTCAGACTCCTATTCGCACATGCGGCGCAGCAAGGATGGTCAGTTCATCAGCTCGATGTAGAGACAGCGTATCTTCACGGGACATTACGGGAGAAGGTTTTAATGGAACAGCCAGCCATGTTCGAGGAGGGAGACAAGGTCTGCTTATTGAAGGAATCTCTATACGGATTGAAACAAGCGGGGAGAGTTTGGTTCGAGACGCTAAACAAAGCTCTGAAAAATATTGGTCTGATGGAACTCGAAGCGGACAGATGTTGTTACTCCATCGAAAATGGGTCGCAAGTCCTCATTCTGACCATTTATGTCGACGATTTCCTCCTCTTCACGAATAGTTCTGAACTCCGGAAAAAGATAATCGACAGCTCAGGGAAGCTTTTCCCCATTAAAGACTTGGGATTGGCCACTTACTGCCTCGGAATAAAAATCTCCCGAAGACCGCGGGAG